ATTGGGTGTCATATGTTTGAGTGTGGCCCCATTGACTTCAGTGTTTACTTTTTATTTTATCTGTGCTCACCATCCAAAGAAAATTCATACAAATGTTTAAACATTATGATGAGTGAAGGGAAACTTTCTTACTCTTGACTTTCTCTTTTCCAATACATTCCATCTTGCTAACTACCCTGAGATAGACCCACAAGGCTGCAGTATATTTTTCTACAGTCACTTCATTATAGAGTTAAAACTTTATATATGATTTTCATCTTCTTTCACACTCCTGACCTGGAAGAGTTAATATTGTGACAATGGCCATATTACAAAAATTAATCTACATGTTTATTATAATACCCACCAAAATTCCAATGCCAAATGTGCAAACAGGTTAAGAATTAAACAGTCCTGATTCATATGGAACTAAAAAGACCACGAATAGCCAAAGCAATTCAAAGGAGTAAGGAACATGGCTTGCTGGAGGTACCACACTACCCAACCTCAAATTGCACTATAGAGATAGTGACAGAAGACAGCCTGGCTTAGAAACATACACGTAGAACAAGGGAGTAGAGTAAGGGTCTGTAAATAAACCAGGAGGGGGGAACCTAATTGTTGACAAAGGAGGCAAAAAACCATGCTGTGGAAAGAAGCCATTTCAGCAAATCGTGCTAACATATACCTAGGGTAGCTACCTAAAAAAGAATGACATTCGATTCCTATCTTTCAGCCTGTACCAAAAACAACTCAAAGTAGATCCAAAGACCTTAATTTAAAACCTGAAGCTGTAAGAGGGAAACAGCAAATAGTCCCGAAGACACAGGGTATGCAATACATTCCTGAACAGAACTTGGTAACGAAGAACTAGCCCCAAGTATCAGCAAATGGGATTTCTTGAAATTAGAAAGTTTGTGTATGGAAAAAAGGAGTCACATCTGGACAATCAGCTCATAAAGTGGGAGAACGTCTTTACCAGCTTTACTCTAGACAGGCAGCTTACATCCCCAAACGGCAAGAATTAAACACCAAGGAAATAAAATTGCCAGTCAATAAAATAATCTAGTGGAATGGACATGTCTCAATAGAACACACACAGAAGACTAATAACTGTGATTTTTAATATTCCTAGTCATCAGAGAAATGTAAATTAAAATTACTTTAAGATACAACCTTCCCCAGTCAGAATGGCTGTCATAACGAAATCTGACAAGCATGTTGAGGAAGACAAGAATGTAAGGGAAGAAAAGCACTTACTCATTTCTGGTGGGAATGCAAATCAATCATTCTTTGGAAACCAGTTTGTAAGTCCCCCCCCCCCCCAAAAAAAAAAAACAGAACTACCCTGTGACCCAGCTATTCCACTCCTGGGCATACACTTGGAGAAGTCCATACCCTATCACAGAGATATTTGATATCCATGTTTTATTGCTGGTGTATTCATGACATGAAAGAAAATGAACCAACCCTTATATGTTTATCAGCAGATACATGGATAATGAAAATGTGGTACATATACAAAATAGAATATTATTCAGCTATAAAGAAAAGTGAAATCATGAAAATTCCAGGAAAATGGATGAAGTTGCAAAAATATGTTGAGGTCACCCAAACTCAGAAAGAAAAGAATGGCATGTTCTTCCTCATATGCAAATCCTAGTCTATAGTGTATATATGTATGTTTACATGTATATATGTAAACAGCTTAGGTGTGTATATAGCATAATATTTAGCAAGGAGACCAAGGGAGGCCTATTAGGTGATGAAAAAACACAACACAGGCAAAAGGCCATGAGTCATCAATGAACATAAAGCTATTTTTTCCAGCTTCATTTTTCATGATGGATATGTCTATAAAAGTGTAATTGATGGTGAAGGTCTTAAGCCCTAAGTGGAGCGCCATTGATTGGCAATGGTTGTTCTGACTGTATAGAAGTTCACTGGGATGTATAGAGTTCGGGACTGGGCAAGTGTTTGTTTGAATGGTTACCTTAAACCAGCTGTGTGCTATTTTTGTGAGCTAATTAGAATAAAGGGATTTTGATAAAAAATTTAAAAAGTTTGGTCCTTAGAAGGTACATCTCCCATTTAGTGTCACCAAGTACCTTTCTGTAGTGCCCATGAGGAATATGTTTCTTTATATGAGATTTAGGTATATAACCACCCTAGGCTTCCTTCCCTTAGCACCACGTCGAGACACTAGGAGTGTTGGTGAAACAATGCCTGCTAGGCACCCACTGTTTCTGTGTGGGTGCTTTCTCCCAGTAGCTCAGGCTCAGATTCGAACTTCTCTACCTCTGATGCTGGTTCTTTCTTCTTTTTCCTTTAACTGGGAGCTGTGGTACAGCAGAGGGATGATGGTTGGGCATCAGACTCACTACCTGTGACCTGCTTTCCTGGGGTACAGCAGAGGGATGATGGTTGGGCATCAGACTCACTGCACCAGTTAGACATGTAGCCCAAGCAAGCTGTTCACTTATCTAAGTTGCTTTTCTAAAGTGACAACATAACAATAATACATTGCTAGGATTAGCCCCATCATTAAAAGTGTGACTTAGGGAGGCTGGAGAGATAGTAAAGTATTTGCCATGCAAGCATGAGAACCTATGTTTAATCCTTAGCATCTACATAAAGAAGCCAGACTGGGGAAGCAGAGATGGGCAATACCCCCTGGGGCTCACTAACCAACCAGCCTAGCCTCACAGACAAATGACCCTGTCTCAAAAATCATGGTGAATAGTCCTGAGGAATGACATCCATGTTGGCCTTTAGCCTCCATGTGCATGCATACTTGTGTACATATACCTCCTGCTCACATGAACACACACATTCTTGGAAGCCAGGTGTAGAGGCACGTGTCTGTTGTCCAAGTGCCCTGGAGGCTGAAGCAGGAGGATTACTTGAACCCAGGAAGCTGGGCAACATAACAAGACAGCCTTTCTAAATTAAACTAAACGTTTGGTGAAGTTGGTAAGAGGCAACTGGATGGACATATCGATGGTTCCATTAGAACCTTCCTAAAGTGGCCTAAGATAGGTCAGGGGATTGGTGCCTGAGAACAGGCGGAGTGTGCTTATGAGCAGGCTGCGGATTAGAGTGAGGTTGGTGTAGGTCTTCTGCGGCAAGCTGGGAAAGGTCTCAAATCAGTGATGCTTTCAGAGGCAGTACTGGGAAAGATGCCTTTCCAAGGAATCCTTGTATCTTCGGAGCTCGCTAGGTGTTGACTACACTGTAGCTGTTGTAGCTGTGGCCCAGAAAATTTGATCTGTTTGCCCAACCCTGAGCATTCTTTCTGGAGATGACTCTGTCAGGATTTATTTATTTATTTATTTTTGGACAGGGCAGCAATTTGGTAAATTTGTATTCTAAAGATCTTTTTTTTCCCCATTCCTCTGAAAGCACGTGAAAACTATTGGCATAAAAAATAAATAGCCAAATGGGTGTTTGAATGTGTAGCATGTGCTATGCTAGTAAGAAATTTTATTTAATTAATAGACTTAAGAATCAAATTGCCTGGTAAAAAAGGTGACGCAGTGTCTCAGTGTAGATGGTGAGAGAATGTATTAACAAAATTAGACATTTTTACCTGGCATAGAAAGAAAATTGATTCAGCAAACATCTGTTGCAGCTCACACTAATCTATTCTCCTTGCTTCATAAAGTTCAAGGGACAGAGTTGAATTAGGAAGGCTTCTGTTCTCAGGGACCTTAGACTAGTCTAGAATATGCTCATGAAGCAAGTATGAGGCATGAGTATATGCTGTAACAGCGGGGGCTGGACACTTGTGGAGAAGCCATGATTCCCACTCAACAAGGCAGCTCGGATTTAATGACATTTTAAAGGCACTGAGCATTGAACCCAGGACCTCACACACGCTAGGCAAGTGCTCTCTTGCCGGGGAATATACTATTCTGGTATCACCACTTTCTATGTCATTGGTAAATACGACACTATTGTTTTCATTGAAGGTCTTTCCAACCCTTGATGCTCTTTGAAGTCTGTAATGCTACCAGCATGGATAGTGTATGGCGAGACTTTGGAGATAGGACATATGGAGAAAACATGATTCCAGTGTTTGGAAGACTGCATGATGAAAGGGAAATAGAGATTAGCATGAAAGAAGCCAGAGAGTGTCCAAGTTGAAACCCAATAAGGAATTCGGTGTGAGTGGGGTTAGGATGCAGAAGGAGGGTGGGGCAGAGCTTGAGAATTTGAAGTCTGTTCTCATGTAAGTCCTTGCCTAGAGAATAAAGTACATAAAATGCACTTTCCAAGAGAGCGAGAATGTGTTTGAACAGTCCTGACCAAAGAGTAGGGAAGTGCACGTTCAGGCAGTGTGACCATCCCATAGTATTCCTAAGACCTCAGAGGATAAGAAGCATATACATACCATGGGTAGCTGGAAGTATTTTTCGAGCAGCACTCTGTAAGGAACTTGAGTGGAAAACACTTCTCACATCAAGTTTGGCCAATAAACTAGAGAGAAGCACAGTGCCACCTGCTGTTCAGCTTTAAGCATTTTTATTTAATGGCTAATTTCTCCAACTGCCTTTTTGTTTCTGTTTTGAGTGCTTTTAAATGTTCATTTATTCCTTTTAAAAAATATGGCTACCTCATGTGTGCGTGGAGCAACTTGCTTATTTTAATGTTAAAACGAGGGATATCATGTCAGTTTGTTTCTGCTTTGATCACAATCTTACCAAAAGTTTTCTTCTTCTTAAATGATTCCTCTGCTCTGTCTTCGCTTGAGAGAAGAAGATGTGTGAGTTAATTACTTCAGGTCAGAGGGTTTCAGCCACATTTCTCGTATCCTGATTGCTTCGTCTTCTGCTCCTGAATTATTCAAAACAAATAAGTATGTGCAAAGCTTTCATCTCTCGTCTGAAGCATTGTGGTGGGGAGCACTCATTTTGCATTCTGACGGAGTCGTCTGCCTAGAAGTTTGAGTGTACAAGCTCCAAGCACCAGCTTCCACATGGATAGCAGTAGAAAACCGTTTTGCTGTTTTAAATCTCAAGGAAAACCTTCATACTTGAAAGCCGTACAAGCTTCTTGGGTGAATTCGTCTAGACTACTTCCTATACCCAGAGCATCTTTGATGTGCAGGGCAGGAAGCACCCGGTCAGTGGCCAGCACCCACAACGATCTGAGCGCCCGCAGCCATAGCTGTAAGTCAGATTAATGTCACACTTGGTGGGTTGTTGAGATAGTAGTCCCAGGCAAAGCTAAGGGTCTACAAATAATTCATTTTGTTTCTGTATCTTAGTGGGAATTTTGCGCATTTTTGCTTCTTTGCAATTGCTCAGAAAGTCTGGCAGGAATACAAGTTCTTAGGAACAGATTTCTTTGGATGACCGTCCAGGAGACCCTGAACTGGTTACTTGGTCACAGCACCTGTTGTATAAAGGAGCTTGAAGTATGTTATTTGAGTTGTTGTGATTGTGTGGGGCTGTTTGTAAAAGAATAGTAGCCAGGACTCTTGTGAGCCAACTGGAAAGCGGAAAAACCATCACTGCAGGTTTTCTTTTGGTTCCTGAAAGACTGTCTTGTGGAAGTGCTTTGTAATCTTTCACTTTAGATGCCAGTTCCAAGGGAGGTAGAGATTATGTACCTTTAAGCTTAATCGTAAATTATTTAAACTCAGAATACTGTGACAGTTTCTGTAAATTCTGGTTTCTGCATGTCAAGTCGGGAAACAATCTAAGCTCGTTCTCTTTTTTATGCAAAAGATGTACTCAGAAAAGTGCTTTTTGTTTTTTCTCCTTGTGCTTTTTTTCCCATTTCTCCTTAAATTTCCTCGCAAAGTAATTCATGAATTAGCTAAGACAATTTTGGAGGGCCTGCTGTGCCCAGGGTCACAGTAGGTAAGGGGGGTGGGGGGTGAGGGTATAGAGAATTGTCACTATTAATAAGAAGCAGATGAGAAAGATACGTATGGTATGTTTGTGGGATATGTGAGCTCTTTGCTTGGACGACAAATCCATGTCTTTATTTTTTTGGTCTGAGGAAATGGGGCCAAAGTGGTTGAACCCTTTGGATGCCAAACAGCAGCACAGGGCTACTGTTCGTTGTCCTCTGTTTCACTCCCCCGACCCCAATACCTTCGGTTGTTATCTTGGCCTTTTGGGGGACATGATGGAGGCTCAGAGATTGTATTACAGGTCCAAAGTCACACAGCGAATACGTGACAGGATGGCCTATGTATGGACAATAGGCATTGAGTTAATGACAGAGGACACATTTCAAACAGGTCACTTCATGCAGCAGCTGGTCTCAGGCATGTAAGGAGCTGCATAGCGGCCCTTGACAATGACTAGAATATATTACTTAAACAGGGTCATTATCTTCCTATTGTTTGAAATTTAAAGTGGCAGGGAAAACCCCAGAGGGTTTGCATGTAACAGATAATTCTCTGTGAATTTGGAAAGATGACTCGCATATGTATTATTCTATGGTAGTCTCCCATCTAGACTTCTTTGTCCTATAGTGGAAATTTAAAAAAAAAAAAAAAAAAAGCTACCCAGTCAGAATCACCAACAAGCCCCCAAAGCCATAATGGTAGAATTTGTGACGCTGCTTGGAGCAGACACATTTCCATAATATCATACCTGGCATTTTCTACTGAACATGTTGATTTGGTCACTGGCATCCTGGAGTAGCATGTCTGACCCTCCCAAAGAGGATGTGAATCGCTTTTGTCCTTCCTTTTTGTCCCTTAACAAAAGGGTTTACCGTGCACCCACAGAGCCCGTCTAGTGGCCGTGTCCCGCTCACAGATTAAGCATTCCTATCCCTGAGTCTTTCTTGGTCTGATTTGCTAGCCGGTTTTATCTGTTCTCGTCTGCCTGGCAGCTTACGGCTCTCCCCCTCCCCATCCCAATTCACCGAGAGCAAGCATGAGGGATGTGAGCGTGAACATGGCTGCAGTTTCCCCTGCCTGAGCTGGCTTCGATCCTTTTAAATGACTATACCCGGAGGATTCCGCAGTTGTACAGAAACTGATATTTCTTCAAAGATCTTTATTAATTCTACACTCACACCCCCGGCTGGCTCAGAAAGGCACTATGATGCTACCTTATTGGCATTGCTGGTTGTGGGATCCTACAGCCTTTGTATAATTCCTTTGTTAGCCACGCTTACTAGGAAAAGAAGTAGGTCGGCGGTTTCTCGTTTGATTCTTTGCTTTGTAAGCATGCTTAAATTTTTATTAAATAAATTGATGGTAGGACCTCTGGGGTGTTAGCTTTGCTTCTTGTAATTTATGTTGACTGTAGTCTTTCTTGGTTGTATTTATGGATATTTAAGATGGGAAAAGATCTGTGGGGAACTAATTTTATTGTGTGTTTTCTGTGTTTGGGGACTTAAATTCTAATTTAGGTTATAAGTGTACTTTATGATTTTTATCCTATTAACAAAGACTATCTGATTTAATTTCTGTAGGTTTTGTGTATGTGACTGGCAGTTGTGCAAATGTAGAAAAATATTTCCTTAGAATTTAAATGAAAGTGCTAGATTTTTTGGTTGTCTTCAATTACAATTAATATATGATTCACATAAAAGTATTAAATGTGTATGTGCTTTAAAAAAACTACCTTAAAATATGAAAAAAAAATCATTTTGAGCCAAAATTGTCTTGCTGCTGGTATGGGGGCTCACATTAGGAAATTAATCTTTCGCTGGAGCTCATGACTCTGGCCAGGTTCCACAGTGGAGCCTTTTGAAGGGTGGTGCTCGCTTGCTTTGCCTGCTTTCTCTTTGTGGTGTTGCGTTGTTAGTGGCATCAGTTAAGAACTTCACAGATAAGCATAGTGATGTTGGGAAATGGGCATCTGGTCATCGGTACTCGGGGATCCTTAGAAACAATGGTACCAAGTTATAAGTGGGATGAACGAAGATGTATAAGGCAATTTTTTGTATCTGTATCTGGGAGTTTAGCAGTTTTTTTTTTTTAAATGAATGCATAGAAGAAAATTAAAGTAAAAAATAGTAACTGCCTTCTGATATATGAGTGTAAAGATTGCATGGTAGTTCGCTATACCAAATGAGACAGCTCATTGTGCAATTTGGAAGTGGGTCTTAGGAAAGTAGTTTCGCCACCTTAGCAGGCTTGTGAAGACCAGAGATTTCCTTCCTCTTTCCCTCTGGCCACAAGTGCATGTTTATATTTGAGTGACAGATGGTGTGGGACAGTGACAGAGATGCAAACTAAAGCTATGTGCGCGCTTGCTCTCTCTCTCTCTCTCTCTCTCTCTCTCTCTCTCTCTCGGCAATAGATCAGAAGGACTAAATAAATAAGTGGGCCAGCCTCGTGGACAGGAAGTGATCTGTAGGAAAGGGTACTCACCTGGGACTTGTTCTAGTTTCTGTGAACTCACGGTGAGTTGCATAGTTTTTAGCATCTTTTAGCATCAGTTTTTGAATCTGATGAATGGGAAGGAAGAACTGGACCATCTTCGGCTTCCTTCCAGCAGCATGCCTCTGACTCATTTTCTTCACCGCATGATGATGATGATGCCTCATCTGTTTGGAAGGAATACACTTTGATTTGCCCAACTGACTAAGCGGGCAGAAGGATGAATCTTCATGATCCCCAGTTTTGTTTTTATTCTGGCAATTATGGTTAGTGAGTATGGTCAGATTTGTCAACACTAGGAAGTTGATAAGAACCTATAGTGTTGATCCTTTTTTCAGGCTTCCTCCAGGTTCAGAGGAAAAGGTTTGTGTTTGACTAGTGATGTCTGACACAGGCAAAGAGTAAAGGTGGGCAGTGTGTAGTGCTGACTCCATGTCACAAGACATGTTAGTATTCACGCCCTTCTGAATGGGCTGCTTCATGAGGAAATATGCAGATGACTAATCTTTGTTCCATTTTAGTATCTTTCTATGGTGTGTAGGAAGCCACTCTTGTAAATTACAAAGTTGAGTGATTTCTGCTTTTGAGCTTCAGAAGCTTAGACTTGAGTTATTTGGTTTTAAGCGAGGTAGGCAGACAGTCTGGCACAGTGGAGAGCGTTAAGCTGATTCACAAAGAATTCCAGAAATGAGCAGAGTGTTGTCTCTATGCAGATCCATGTCGTTCCATCAAACAAAAACTCATTTCAGTTTAGGTGCCAGAATGCAGTAAGAAACACACTAGTTTGCAAGTCAACACCGGGACCAATGAGAAGCTCTTTGCTAGCAGGAAAACTGATGCTTCTGCTGAGCTTCTTCTGAAAACAGTCCCTGCTCTGTTGTCTACATCCACTTCTTAGTCCACTTGCAACACACCCTGGGCTGGGGAAACGAAACTAAGGGTTCTAGAAAAATCTGTCATTGTAGTGTAATCAGACAGTTATGACTGAGGAGGACACTGAAATAGGACATCTCTGGATAAGGAAACAATTAGAAGTGGGCAGGATGCTGTGCCAGTCAGCATGTGAGGAACTGAGTAGAAGGTGGGAGAGACACTTGAAGGGCCTCCTGTTCAGAGTCGCAATCAGCTTTCCAAGTGGGAATTTTTTTTTTTTTTTTTTTGGTTTTTTCGAGACAGGGTTTCTCTGTGTAGCTTTGCGCCTTTCCTGGAACTCACTTGGTAGTCCAGGCTGGCCTCGAACTCACAGAGATCCGCCTGGCTCTGCCTCCCGCGTGCTGGGATTAAAGGCGTGCACCACCACCGCCCGGCCCAAGTGGGAATTTACTGAAAAGCAATGTGCCAGTCAACAGGAAAATGGAGAGAATACTGAAGTGTTAGGCCGTACAGATATGTTTGGCTTATTCCATCTGGTAAAGTCGATGCTCATACAATGGATAATCATAGAGTGTGAATATTTGCCACGCACATATATTTCATATAAATATGCAAGTATGTATAAGAATGTTGATATGTATATTTGTATCTGAGACCAGTATATTTTATCCTTGAGACGTGGATTTTGACTCTGTTGTGTTCCAAAGCTGACTGAATCTGGTGCTAGATCTGTTGTCTTGGTGAGCCTTCAAGAGTAGTACCAAGGTAGTTTTATTTCCAGAACAGTGTCTACTCTTCTGTGAGACCAATAGCCAGGGGTCTTGGATCTCATAAGAAACATGTCCTTCACTTCCGTGAGAAATTCTTTCAGTAAGTTCTTTGTAAGCAGCAGATCTTTGTGTCTAAAGCTCAGAAAAGTGAAGCATGCATCCAGAGCTGTGGAAAATCTTATATCCTGTTCATAAATTGAACCAAACTTTGTTTTTCAAAGTTGGAACAAGTGACTTACTTGCTGCTGAATGGAACAAAAGTTGCTCCGAGATAAGCAAGTCTGAAATCCAGTAGTTACAACAAAAAGGGACTTCTTTGATTGACTTCAAGTCAGTTACGCACCTACTGAAGCCTAATGCCCACTTCTCATGAAATGTTGGTACTGTCACCCCACTGTGTGTCCTTTAGAGTGTTATGTCGAATGGTAGACCGCCTTGTCCATTAGCATCTTGTCAAGTTTGGAAAAGCCCCACTCCATAGGTTCTCTGGGCAAGGTGAGAATTGGAAAGCAGGACAGAAGCTAGGCAGAAGCTTGCCAGCGGGAGGGTGGGTTTGTGCTGATCTAATATTAGGAATGTTATCTGGGCATATGGTGAGTTAACAGATGGCTCCATGTACGGATACTGTGTGAGCATTGTTGGTGGGGGGTGAGGTCGTTTAGCCTAGTGAAAGACTTCTTGTCTTCATATTGTTTGTGAGCAAGAGAAATGTCTCATGGCCCTTTGCTAGAGGATGAAGAAAGGGGTCCAAGTCAGTAGTAAAACCATTTACAATCCTTAACAGTGCATATGCTAAAATTGAAATGACACAGAGATGTGAACACTGCTGTCGTACCAGGGTGACACACATTCATGTGGAGCATTCTATACTAGGAAAAAAAATATGATTGATGTATTGAATGGTAGAATAAAACTGGATGCCTAGAATTTCGTGTTGACGATTTCTCAGAGAAAATAGGATCAAGACAGTAAGTGGAGGAGAGATTTTGTGTTTTCATACAGTTGATTTTCTCTATGTAGGTAAGAGTCTCTTTATATTTTTTTTTCCACTTTAAGGCTGGACCTTTGTAACAGGGTGGATGCTGGCAGTCTGACTTCTCAATGCAGCTTCTGTGGAGACCAGATCTTATCCTTGAAGCCATTGAGAATTTTGTCTGCTCTCGATTTTTTTTCGTTTACTTAATTAACATCAGCCACTTACAGTCTGTATTGTCTTCATGGAGAGGGATGCTTTCCTTTATATGCTTTGGGTATGTTTGTTACACAGCATAGATGACTATTTATCTTCCACCTTCTGAGATAAAAGCCAAGCTGGAAGTGTGCACAAACTTGGACTATTGGAGGAAACAAAACGTAGGTTTTTGAGCACAGCATTTATTTTGCATACTTTAGGCCAGAAATTATCTCTTTCTTGACATTCAGTAATTATTGTGATATTGTAGTCATTTTGGAATAAATACGGGGGACTTGTAGTTATGTACTAAATAAGATCTACTTTTCTGTTTTGTTATAGCTGGTAATGCTGCTGTCATCAAGTATGAAGAGAAACCTCCCAAACAAGTATTTCAGAATGGATCAGGATCCTTATATCTGAAGCCTTTGGTACCCAGAGCTCATGCACACTTGCTCAAAACTCCTCCAAAAGGTATTGTCTTCATTGTGATGAAAAGAAAATTAAAGAATTTTAAATTCGTGGCTTTTAGGAAGGAAGTTAAATTTTGGCAAGTAGGTTTATGGTGCATGTAACAATTGTTTAAATGTTGAAACGCTCATGGAGTAAGAAAATTTTAACAATGAGATGCTCTTGTTCCAAGGGTCTGCAAATTCTATAGGTAAAATCCAATAATAAAAATCAGCAGGTAGGGGCTAGAGAGATGGCTCGGTGTTTAAAAGCACTGACTGGTCTTGCAGAGGAATCAGGTTCAGTTCCCAGCACCAGTATGGTGGCTGCCAGCTATCTGTATCTCCATTTCCAGGGGATCCGATGCTGTGCTCACTCCATCTCCCAGTCTGCATGGGTACTGCACATGCATGCACACAGACACACATTCCAGCAATACACCCATCGCCCTAAAATAAGAAATAAAGCAAATCCCAGAAATCAGCAAATAGCTTCCCTGACATCTCCGTTCTAACAAATAAAACTAACATTCGGTTATGCTAGTGCGAGCCCCTCGATGAGAACTAGGAACGAGGAGCACGGCCTATTTCATGTCTGTTGCCTGCTTCCCTTGTCAATACCGTGGTCTTGCTCCTCTCTTCTCTCGGCTCTTTGTGTCTGATCCTTCTGTTTGGTTCGCTTTGCAATCGCTGTGGCTATGGAGAGAGCATGCAGTGTGTAGTGTGGACTTAACCAGCAGTGTTTCCATGCAGCCTCATCACAGCTGAGAGAGAGAGAGAGAGAGAGAGAGAGAGAGAGAGAGAGAGAGAGAGAGAGAGAGCGAGCGAGCGAGCATGGCAAAGCTCTGCTCCTAGGTCCTTGAAAGCTTGCTCATCTGGAAGAATAAGTGAGACCCTTATTTATATCAGAGAATTGGAAAAGCAGCCAGCAGCCACCACGGCACCCCCTCTCAGTTTTCTCTCTTCATATAGATGTGGTTTTGTTTTTGTTTCAAGGAAAGTGAGCACAGTGGTCTCAATTTTGTATGTATGTATGCTGGCATGTATGTAAACGATCATACCATAGCTTGAGGTTACTGACCTAGCCTACATTTAGCAATGCTTTTTTCTCTCTCCTGGGTTGAAGGAGAAACAAATGAACAAAACTATGGGTTGGGGAAGTCCTGGTTAGGGGCAGGTCATTCCTTGTGCCACCAGGGTCATCTTTGTCCTATATACAGCTCTGAGGCATCAGATGCCCCCTGCTAGGGTGGCATTAATATCAGAAACTGTTTTTTTATCATGATTAAGCCCCACGCTACCTCCAACAATAGCCAAAAGTAAACCCCGTGATGGAGGTTTAATCCCTGAGGCGACTTTCAGGGGACAACTAGAGACCCCACTGATGAACTGCAAAACGGGGCAAGCCAATTTTTTAAAAGGCCTGCCGTTGAGTCTGCAGGTGTCTCACGGAGGCTTTCTCTGACAGGGAGTGAATGCTTCCCATTTATGATGGCCACATACTTTTAAGAGATGGTCTTCTCTTTAAAATTCCACAGATGGACTATGGCAGTTCCAGCCAGTCGTCTGCAGATGGTTCTTCACTTGACTGTTTGATGTCAAATACAGGCGCTTATAGCCTGGCAAGCATCTACTCGTTTGGTTCCTGGCCACATCTTATATTGCATCAGCCTGGAGCAAAAGCTCCGTTGTATTTCTTCACGGCTGAATAGAAGTCAGCCCCTGGGGAAGGCACACACCAGCAACCCTCTGTCTCAAAGTGCAGCCTCTTTCCTCTGTGCAGTATAATAAATAGGAATATAAAAGTATGAGTTCAGCATTGCTAAACGATGTGTCTCCTGGCCAGCATGTAGCTCAGCAGTGGAGTGTTCTAATCTGTGGGGCTTAGGATTCAGAAACAAGAATAAATAATAAATATATAAACTAAAATTAAAATGAACTTTGTCGTTGACTTGCTAAATACACCATGCCCTGTCCTTTTGAAAATTTGATATTTTGATTTTGATGAATAGCATGTCACTCTTATCATTAACAAATTAGATATCTACAATATTATCTATATATGAAGAAGTATACTTGATAAAGTTGTTGGCATCTCTTGGGATTTTTCTCAGTGGTTAGCTGGAACCTACAATTCAGAGGTTAATGGAGGGCTTTTGAAAGAAATGAAATCACTCTTAGTTACAAAATGGCTTGAGTTATGCGTAGTATTTTCAATAAAACATGTGTTTTATGTTTCTTTCACATTCTAGGTCCTTCAAGAAAGAGTCTATTCACAGCTTTTAATTCAGGCAAGTGCCCACTCTAAGCATGAATAGATAAAAATCTTTCCATTTGAAAAGTAATGATTAAACATACTGGAATTTCTTTATAATGACTTTACACTGGTATGCTTTTGAGTCAAAATTCAGGCTTTAAGGTATAAATAACTGCATATGAAATGGGCATTTGGGAAGTATGATTGAGCCTTCTAACACAAGAAGAGGACATTTGATTATAGATAAATTTAGCTTAAAATGATTTTTTAATATGGCTCATGTGAAATTAAAAAGAGACTTCTCCAAATATACATGTTACTTTAAATTGGATCTTTGATTGTAAAATTTTCTTAAGATGTAGTTTTTAACCCCTTGTATTAGCTTGATAACTTTCTATTTTCCTGGCTCCCCCCCCCCCACCCCTTGGTTGGAGGGACAGCTCTAAGGCAGCCTATAACTTAAACACATTTAACTACATTGAGAGTCTCATATTTCCTCTTGAGGAGCCATTTATAAAATGCATTCATTGAAATTCCTACACATGACATGCAAGACTGTGCAGTCAGCCATGCACTACCGACATGCTCTTATTTTATATTACAGCGATAGTACAGTCATGTGACTTCTAAGCCCGCTGCACAGCAGAACAGAAAGCCAGAAAAGGGCCACGTCGCAGCCCGTAAACTAGCTGTTATCCAGGCTTTCATAGTGTCAGCACAGGATGCAACTGTGAGCCACGTGTTTTCCCCTATTTGTAAACATGGTGGTTGGTTATTTTCACAACTTGAGGCTGATCTGAAACTAGCTTGATCCTAATGAGGAAACATTGCTATGTGTGGCTTTTGAAGTAAAACTGCTTGTAAACATTGAAATCCCATTTTATTATGTACCACGTAGAGATCAGTTTCAATGAGTCACTTGGTATTAATAAGTGCATTAACAATTAATCACTTGGATGTTTGAATTGGTTCTATATATCACATTCACAATGATTCCCTTATGGACTGTTTCACAATAGTCTCCGTGAGTTTCTTGTGACAGATTCTTTCAAATGGTATTAATAAACAAAAGCACGTGCACATTATATATTTAATAAACAAAAGCACATGCATTTTATAGTCACTCGGATAACCGCATTATTTTCAAAAAGCTCCATACTAGCTTCTGGTATGAGTCATGACATAAAACTGCTGCCCATACTCTGGTCAACCTTACATTTTGCTTAATTTCTTATTGATTTAATTTACTTTTCAATTTTATATAATTCTTTTATTTAATTTTATAAAGATTTCTCTTCATGTGTGTTCTGCCTGGCTGTGCGTCATTATATCACATGCAGGCAGTGCCCTGGGAGGCCAGAAGGTATCAGATCCTCTGGAACTAGAGTGACACACAGTTGTGAGCCTCCACATAGGTGCTGGGCGCTGAACCAAGGCCCTTTGAAAGAGTAGGGATGCCGTACACCTCTGAGCCATCTCTCCAGCCTCTATTAATTTTGGGGGGGGGGGGGCTGGGTGAAATAGTATTTGAAATGTCCTATCATTATTTCAGTTTAACAGTTAAAGACATTCCACTACCTCAGAAGACAAGGGCAGGAGAATGACCTTGTGAGGCCTGGGCGTCGGTGAAGATCTTGGTTCTCCACTTCCTATTTGTGGCCCGACTTTGGCTACTTGCCAAGCCTCTCCACAGCTCTACTTTCCTGTTTGGCAGCATGGGAATGTTCCCAGTGCTGGCATCATTTTGACTGTGTAGAATATTTTCGTCCCAGGCTCTCAAATGGTAGCTAATCCTGCCGCTAGGGCCGACAAGGTTGACAATTCTTGTTGTTGTTACACTTTTAATGGCTTCAGTTTAGAGGTGAGCTCCCCACTACCCCATGGTGTTAAGTTCTGTGAAATCCTCAAAGCAAGTGGGCAAATCCACCAAAAGCTCTGAACCACCATCCTGGGGTCTAGCAGTTGTGATTTATTTAAAGGTTATGATGCTGTGAGATTCTAGGTAACACTGGCTCTAAATAAAATGTGCTTGCTGTTTATGAGGAAGATGCCACACACCACAGCATGCTATTATTACTGTGGTTCCGACACTCATGGGAGCTGTTTGGGATACCATAGGCATCCAAGTTGGGTTTCTCCACTTCTGACTGTTTTATACATCATCCCTGTCAGGTGCCATGCTGTCTGCCCTGGAAGTGGACATGTCTGCTCCTTCTGTGCCCTTTTATAAATAGGAGATGCAGAAAACCACAGGCTCTTTCTCCAGTGTTGGGAGATGGCTGAGGTCTGCATGCAGACCTGCTCTGGGGAGCTGATGCAATGCTACCACACTGTGCGCCTGCTGTCTGTCTTTCCTGACTGCATGTTGATGATCTCAACTTTGCCCTCATGCTGAAAGGGCAGATGCCGTTTCCATACATGAAAAATTTGGTGCTTCCTGTTAGGAAGAATGGATCATTTAGTGAATCCCACTGTGACAGTGGTACCTTGTTGGCCTGGAGCTAGATCTCTTCACACAGTGCACAAGAACGTATTCCAGAAAGAAGGGTTTTACATGTAGAAATGAATAAAAGCGTCATAAATATAGACCTGAATAGAGAAGGCCTTTCCTGGAACACAGGTGTAATAGTAGAGATTAATAATTATGACAACACATGATTGGAGCTTTGTTTTGCTAAAATAGACAACATTACCATACTTGTTCTTTGTAGCACCCTTGAAAACTAGCATGACAGAGCCAGCCCCACAGTAAATGCTTAATGGGTCTATTATTGTCCAAGACACCTCTCAAAATCCTCATTGCATTTTTTGACTGAAAAAGAAAAGTCAGTATGCAAAATTCATGGGGAACCAAATAAGACCCCAAAATAGCCCAAAAGCAATCTTGTGTGTGTGTGGGTGGGGGGAACGAAGCTGGAAACATCATACATCTTGCTTTCAAGTCTATTAGTTTGTAAATAAAATGGTGTGCTGGGACAAAGGTAAATAGAGACCACTACAATGGAAGAGCCCAGAAATAAACCCGTGGACAGACAGTCCACTGAGTTTTGACAAAACTGCTGAAAATGCCCAGTAGGAGAACTATATAGTGTGAGGAGAACTAGATGTCTATGGGCAAAGTGAAAGTGAACCTTCATCTCACCTCATACTCAGAAAAGAACTTAAAATCTTACATTTTAATTCAAGACTTGAAACCAAAAAACTCTTAGAAGGAAATGAAAGGTGAAGGCTTCATGGCTTTGTTGTTGGTCGTGATTTCTTGGTTTGACACTAGAAGCATGAGACAAGAAAAACTGGACAAGTGAGACTATACTGAGCTCAAACTTCTGCAGCACAAGGGAGACAGTCAGGAGCATGGCAGGAAAGGACTGCCTGCAAGCCGGATACCCAATAAGGGCTGATCTACCAAAGTGACATGAGGATATGGAAGAGAGACTTGATCTCCCATGTTCTTTGCAGTCTTATCCCCTGTATTGGTTAGCTGTTTTGATTATGACCTTGAAGCACTGCCCCCTAGAGAGGCAGCAGGTAACTGCTACATCTGCCTATGACCTTGAAGTACATGCTCCTGGGGTGTGGCCTCTTAGGACCCTTAAGACCTGGGATGCACGTATGTGGCTCTCTTGGCTCACTCATGGTTTGGTTGCTGAGATGTACCAGGCAGATCTTGGACCAGGCCGAAGATCAGCATTGACCAGAGCTCTGTGTTTCAGGCTGTAGTGAGTTTTATCTTCTAATAAATTCCATTGTCTGTTATACAGACTCCATGGATTTCTAGCTATAATCTCCAATAACTAACTGGATGGAAGAATAGCTTAAATGTCTGTGTAGATAAAGATGTGGTATGTCCGTACAGTGGAATACTATTCACAGTACTATACAAAGGAAATGGTGTTGAGGCGGCGGCTCAGAGGGTAAAAGCACTTGCTGTGAAAACCTAAGGATATTAGTGTGAGCTTCTGTAATCTGAGCACTCTTATGGGGAGTGAGCTAGAGACAGAAGAATCTCTGCAAACTCATGGCCCAGGTAGCCTGGCATACACAGCAGAAGGAAAAGAAGACGTAAACAATGGATGTCAAAGACCAGCACCCGAAGGGTGTCCTCTGCCCTCTCCGTGCACACTGGGGCCATGAGTGTCATTCACAGGCACCAACACACAGGCATGCAATGCACAGAGGAGATGGGTTATCTTGCTGACTTGGCTTACAGTCAGGATCGTAGCTGGAGAAGGTGTCGTGGCTTCTGGGCACTGGCGGATGCTCGCCAAGAAATGGGAAGTTGCTCTTTGTTACATTCGGTTATGAAAGCTTAAGACATTGTTACAACACATGTAGTAATGGCATAGTTAACAGGAGCATATGCTTAGACTCTGGGCTTGCTACAGTAGCAGAAGATGAACACAAATAACAGGAAAAAATGCAGGGCTAGGAAACGCGAAAAGTTAACTGGCTGAGAACTGTGCACTCTCCATTTGGCTTTTTTTTTTTTTTTAAAATGCAAGTAAATAGTGAATCTCAAATAAAGAACAGGAATTTACACACTGCACAAGAGTGTAAATTTAGGAGCCATTGCACAGAGCACAGCCTTAGGGCATATATGACCAGAATGAGCCTAAGATGAGATTGTCTTGTTCATTGCTTTTCAGAACTCTTTAAAAATATTAAAAATAGGAGGAAATGGAGTCTAGGGAGATAGCTCAGCAGTGAAGAGATTTACTATTCAAACCTCCCCCCCCCCAAAAAAAGCAAGAAACTTCAAACTCTACCATCACCAATGAAAGCCAACGTTTTAATCCCTACGAATTGTTCCATCTTAAGTACCAAACTCTGCTTCACGTGTTTGCTGTCATCTCTCCTGAGTTTTTATGCGGACCCTTTAAGATGACAAAATAACGCCCACACCTTTTTGCACTCATGCTAGCTGGCCACCAGGGGGCAGGTGACGTTTGGGAAAGAATTGAAACTGAGCAGTCTGAGGCTTGTTATAAGCAGGCTTGGACATTTGTGCGCAGGCATTTTATATGCAGGCATTTT